TCACATGATCACCTCACTAGAGGCAGAAAAAGCATTTGATAAAACCCAACATCCATTCCTGATAAAAACCTTAAAAAATAGGAATAGAAGGTCTTCATCTTAATCTAATAAAAGCTATCTATGTCAAACCAACAGCCAACATCACACTGAACAGAAAGAAAGTGAAAGCTTTCCCTCTAAAAATCAGGAACAAGACAAGAATGTCCAATATTATCACTGCTTTTCAATATAGTTCCAAATAATTTGGACAGGAAAGGAAGAAGCTATCATTATTTGCAGATGACATGATCTTCTACATAGAAGACCCAAAAACTCCACCAAAGGACTCCTAGAATTAATAACCAAATTTAGTCATGTAGCAGGATACAAAGTCAACACTCAAAAATCAGTACTATTCCTGAACATCAAAAACACACTCATCGAGAAAGAAATTAAGGAAATAATACCTTTTACAATAGCATCAAGGAAAATGAAATACTTAGAAATTAACCTAACCAAGGAAGTGAAAGACCTCTACAGTGAAAACCATAGTACTTTTAGAGGTCAGGGGTTTAGCTCAGTGGTGCCATGCCTGCCTGGCAAGCATGAAGTCTTGAGTTTGATCCCAGCACTGAGAACAACAACAACAAAAACAACACCCCCCCCATAGTACTCTGAAAAAGATAAAAGAAGATATGAGAAAATGGAAAGATATCCCTTGTCCCTGAAGAGGCGAGCCAATATAGCCATACTTTCAAAACTGTTATACAGATTAACACAATCCAGTCAAAATACTAATATCATTCCTTACAGAAGTAGAGAATGCAATCCTAAAATTCAAATGGAACCAAAAGAGACCTAGAACAGCAAAAGCAATTCTGGACAACAATGGGAAGGGGACATCATGATCTGAGATTTCAAATTATATTACAAAGCTGCAGTGATAAAAACCATATGGTATTGGGGAAAAAACTGACCTCCCCACAAAACAAACAAACAAACAAAAAAAACTGGCTTGTGGATCAATGGAATAGAAAAAACTCCAAGCACACTGCTATTCTATCGCTGGAGGAAAGATAGCCTCTTTAACAAATGCTGCTGGGAAAACTGGGTACCCACATGCTGAAGAGTGAACCTATCTTTCACCATGCACTAAACTAAAACCAAATGGATCAAAGATCTAAACTTCAGAATAATAATCTGCTGGATGACAAAATAGCTAAAACACTTGAACACACAGGTGTAGGCAAAGACTCTGAACCCTGATTGTACAAGAAATAATACCAAGAATCAACAAATGAGATCACATCAAATAAAAAAGATTACTCTTTTTTTTGGTTTTGTTTTGTTTTGTTTTTGAAACAGGGTCTCACTGTGTAGCTCAGGCTGGCCTTGAACTCACTATGTAGCTCAGACTGTCCTTGAACTCACAGTGATACTCTTGCCCCAGCCTCCTGAGTGCTGGAATTAGAGGTGTGTGCCCATGACCAGCCTTAAAAAGCTTCTGCACAGTACAGCAAACCACCGACAGAGTGAAGAGACAACCTACAGAAAGGGAAAAACTAGCTGTTCCTCAAAGGACTAATATCTAGATTATATAAATAACAAAAAATTACCCCCCTGAAATTTAAGACTCAGTCAAAACCTGGGTATATGAAATGAATAGACACTTCTCAGATGAAGAAGAACAAATGATCAATAAATACACGAAAAACTGCAACACTGCTGTCCATTTGAGAAATGCAAATGAAAACTACACAGAGATTCCATCACACTCCAGAAAGAATGGCTGTCACCCAGAAATTAACCAATAACAAATGTTGGCAAGGAAAAAGCTACCTCTCTTCATTGTTGGTGGGAGTGTAAACTAGTACAACCACATGGAAATCAGTATACTAAAATAAAAATTCCATTCAACTGAAATATTCCTCTTCTAGTTATCTTCCCAAAAGAGCTAAACACATCATACCACAGTTTTATTTATACACACACACACACACACACACACACACACACACACACACAAACACATACCAATTTTTACAGCTGCACAATTCATAATGGCTAAATATTGGAAGTAGCCTATATGTCCATCAACAGATGAATGGATAAAGAAATTGTGGTATTTATACACAATGGAGTACTACTCTACTATAAAGAAGGATAAACGAGTCATTTGTAGGAAAATGGATGCACCTTGCCTGCCTGCCTGCCTGCCTGCCTGCCTTGCCTTCCTTCTTTCCTTCCTTCCTTCCTTCCTCTTTCTCTCTTTCAGACAGGTGCTCACCTTGTAGTGTAGGCTGGCCTTGAACTCACTATGTAGCTCAGGCTGGCCTTGAACTCAATGGCCATACTCCTGCCTCACCCTCCTGAGTGCGGGGATTACAGGTGTGGGCCACCACACCTGGCGGTAACTAACTTTATAAGAATTTATAAGGTAAATAAATGAATCTGATACTGGCAAAAATGGGAGTTAGAGGGGAAATAGAGAAAAAGAATTGAGATGTGTTATGTACATGTACCAATTCCTGACAATGAATGTAATCATTACGTGCTAAACATATACTAATAAAAATTTTAAAAAGAGAAGGGCTTTTATATTTATACATATTTTTGCTTCCTGATATTTTGATATTCCTTCTTTTATCATTTCCTTTCTCTATAGAGAACACCATTAGCCATTCTTTTAGGGTAGATCTGGCAACAAACTCTTAATTTATTTTCACCTGAGAATCTTCACATTATCTTCATTTCTGAAGGTTATTTTTGTACTTCTAAGATTGCTAATAAGAAATCTGCCGTTTGAATTGCCCCCCCCATATATGTGCTACTATATTTCTTTTCTTTTTTGGTCTTTCGTATTCAGAGGTTTAACTATGAGGTATCGTGGTGTGGATTTCTTTGGGTTTATCCTCTCTGGGATCTTCTTGGCTTCTTAATCTATAGGTCTGTGCATGGCCATAGTTGGCCAGCCATTGTTTCTTCGAGTACTTTTCCTGCCCTACCCTCTTTCTCCTTTCCTTCCATAATTCTTTTTTTATTACAGAAAAATATTTTAATGTAAAAAAATGAGCATTTAATAGCTTAATGAAATACAAACCATTCCTATACACAGTACCCATACTGTTATAAGAACTGCTAATCCTTCCCCAGGTTCTTAGAATCTGGGTACAGCATTATATAAAGTAACCACACCACGAAAACACATACCTAAAACCCAGTGGCAGCAACTGGTAAATTAGGGAAGACAGGAGTGACTCAAGCAGCAGAGGATACTACACACTTTCCAGTGTTTCAGTGTTGGAAAGTCCTTCGAGGATTCC